GCTCAGAAACTGAAAAAAAAAATATCCAAACCGTTTTCCAGATTTCGAATTGAATAGTTCTTTTTTTTTAAATAAAAATATATTATATATTAGCTGTCAAATGAAAACTCTGACCGATTTCCCTAAAAAGTGGAAACGGGTGTGGATCCACGCCTGTTGCGTTTTCTGAAATAAATCGTGTGAGGCCTAGCCGCGACGATCTTGAAAGTGGAGAGTCGCAGGCAATCTTATCTCTAATCGTGTATCATCCTGCAGAGATCTTCTTTCACGGACGTTCATCTGTAATGAAATGTTAGTATTTGGCTTTCCACGCCTCTGCACTGTCCAACCTCTCTTCCAGCATGGAAACGCGCTGATTCACGAGAAAGTAGTTGAATAGCAGATGCCACAAACCACGCACGCTGTTACACCACACAGGACTGTCATACGAACACTAGAACCTGTTTGCCTCTTCTGCGCGATTTTGGCGTCCATTGCCGTTTAACTCAAATAAACACGGTTTCGGTGTCTGTACAACTGTGGGCAACGTGATGCAACCCCTTAGTGGGCGCTGTCTTCGATTCCGATGTGCTTTTACCATTATGCACTTAGCATTTTAAGGACGTTTTTGACGAGATAAAGATTTGTAAGACACCTCAGTTATCTAGAGAACCTTATATTTTGTCGTCAATGCCGATATCAACTGAAATATTGATAATTTTTCACGGTCAATTCTGATAAAGTTGCGTCGATTGCGTTTTGCGGTTGACTTCATAAAGATGGTTACACGCGAGGTAAATTTTGACGAAAGAAAGGCTTTCCATATAACACGCGAGGTAAATTTTGACGAAAGAAAGGTTTGCCATATAAACGCCAATGCCAGTAGCTTAGAAGAGTCTTTGTCTGTTGTTTTCTAAGTATTTTGTCTTGTTTTGGTTCGGTCTGCTCTTTTCTCTAGTTGTTTTAAGATATCCGTTTGTAGCTTAAAATATCAGTAAGCTTAGATCTTAAGGGGGTACGACAGAGGATCGTTTTCAGGAGAAACTGATATTTTGTTTAAAACAAAATTAGAACCGACGTTGCAGCTCTTTTTCATTATGACACTTCTAGTAATGAAATGTTGGTGGGGTTTAATGAAGTGAATAGGTGCCAATCGATAACAAATTCATTTACAGAGCTTTTTTTTTACTATTTCACCTTTCAGATTTTTTTAAAAAAATATATGTATCAAATTTTTATTTGTAAAATTGTGAACAACATTCGTTTTGAAGGATAACACTCATACACAGACTTAGCCATTAGAACCAGTTGACAACTTAATAGATAGTAGTTGTGAAAGTACTGCTGAATAGGTTTCGTTTGAATGTACACACCTTAGAATTTCGTCCACAGACTCATAAAGCATATTAAATAGTATTAAAAAGCACTGCTGAAAAGTTTTCATCAAGAACAATAAACAGTATCAAGTGAAAGTACTGCTGAAGAGGTTTCATAAGTGAATGGCCACACCATATTTTTCGCTCTCAGATTCAAAAGTAAGAACCACCAAACTCATCTTTCCAGTGGAACGCTTTTAACCGTACGGGCTTTCATAAACAACAGTTTTTCAGTGTTTGTCTGAGCATGAGGTTAGAGGAGTAAGATAATTTAAAGAAAAAAATTATAAAGTAAAACCAAGCAAACAATATTTACTACTGACTTTTGAGTAAGCACCAAGACCATTTCTGTCTCAAAATTTGCTTTTCGCTCTACGTGTATTTGCATCGAGCACTCCTGTGAACACGCGAAGCAACTCATTACTACATTTGTTTCTTTGTTAATTCTATTTTCTCCCTTTTTTCGCCTTAGTTGCCTTATGTTAGTATTGATTTTGATCGATGGGAGGTCTGGTCATCATCCGACGAAGACGAGGAAGTCTAAAGCAAACAAGTGTTCCTTCCCGAGATGCTGGATAGTGATTCTAGTTTGGATTCTGACGAGGAAGAAAGAATTCCTTCTGATGTAGATTGCCTAAACTTCTACTGAAGAGTTTAACAAAGGTGTTGGAGGCTTAGAAAGAGAAACAAGGACAAAAGCCGCCTTCTGCAGGCTAGTCATCGAAGCTTGCCAGCAGTAGTAAGGATCAAGTTCCCAAGGCTGTTACTGAACAGTGGTTTTAGTCAAGATGCTTTTATTTTATCAACCTTTGCTCTCTCGCAAGAGCACAAAAAACAAGGAAAACACACCACGCTGCGTACATGCATTTTACAAGTGTCACCTTGAATTCTCTAGTGTTCTAAACCAGTCGGCTTTTTTAATCTTAATCTTGATATTCGTACCAGACTGTAGAGAGACGCAAAAATATGTATATGTTGAGATTTGGTACTCGTTTGGACACCGCAACGATACGTTTGAATCGCTGTTCAGAACGAATTCGATATACGGAACTGGCATTCTGTCCCAGCTGTCACGAAGCTCTTCGAAAACCGTCCAATGTCATTCGTTCTTCTTGGCACGAAGCTCTGCCGTTTCTGAGGGCTGGAGTTATTGTTTCTATTGTTTATCATCCAATACAGTTCTGTTAGCTGGTCAAAGAGGTTCGAGGCAGTTCCTCTGTCTGGTTAAGATTTATGGGAACAATGCTGCTTCGGTTTAGAGACTCTATGTTTCCGTCTGCGTTCCCTGAGTTAAGGTTTAATTTAAACATGCATTACCAGTCGTGAGTCTTACAAGGCCAAATGTCAGTAAGAGTTTTATATGTGGTCGCTCGTAAGAATGTTTCTTTTTTGTCAAAAATCAGCGGTTGGTTAAATAATGCTGTCAGAGCTGATATGAATCGGAATAAGGCAATATATTTCATAACAGATTTGGTTAGGAGGGATCTGCTGTTTAAACTCTCTTTTATTCTTCAAAATTTTTGGCTCCGGAATTAATATAAGGAAAGTTAGTTAACAGTTAATACAATAGCTCATGTTACAGTCAATCTTATTTTGTAAGATTTTCATATTTTGTAAACCATTGTCCAAATAGTAAATTAAATTAGTTTTTTGTTTTGGTAATGTATTGCAGTTTGGAGTCGTCCTAACCTTTTCAGGGGCTGAGAGCTTGTCACAATGGGCTTAGAACATTCTAAAAGCTGACGGCTCCATGGCTTTGTGTGAACGATCTCTTTCTATTTTCATGTCAGTCCTTAAGCCCGAGTTCTGCGAATCAGTGCAAGGCCCTTAAAGGCTGTTCTCAGCCTCGTTCCCAGGGTTCTCTTCTACCCGTAGGAGAGAGAACCTGGGAACGAGGTCGGGCTGTCGTTACTTAATTCAAGGTATTTCGCACGCAGCTCCTTTATAGTGAACTCACGGGATTCCCCACTTCAGAAAGTCTAGGGAGAATGGGTACAAGCTTTGTGTGCGGGGATTTCTGGGATCGTTTGGGTGGACAAGCGTTAGTTATGATTGGTCAATGGTATTTAAGGCAACCATTAACCAATCATAAGTAACGCTTTTTCCACCCAACGGATCCCAGAGATCGTTGCACCGAAAGCTTGTACCCATTCCCGTTATAGTCTTTGGAGTGGGAAATTTAAGGGACTGTGACACGTATATGCGGCATCTTGATTTCTGGTCTGGCGAACCCTTTTTCAAGATTTGCTTTTGGTGAAAAAATCATCTTCCATCGACCCTGAGATGCCCGAGAAAGCTATTATATCGGTATTCAAGAGCTATTTGGTCCATTTTGGAAGTTTTAAACGCCATATTTTGTATTTTTGTGCAAGCATTGTGGAGAAAATTCGAAATCATTGAGGAGAAGTGTACGAAGGCATATTATTGGTTGTCAGTGTTCCTACAAACGGATCAAATGTGGCGTTTAATGTGGTCATCTGGCTTTCATTTCTGTCTATTTAGTTCTCCACTCAACGATCTACATTTTTCTGTTAGATTTTTAACGTTAAATATATGTATTAAGAAAATTGAAAAGGACTTCCTATGTATATGTACAAGTATGTATGTATGTGTTCAACTCGATAATGTCTGAGTTACAGTGCAACTCATACAGAGAGGTCATCGCGCTAGCCGAACGCATAGGGCCCAAGAAACATCGTAGACTGCTCGGAAGGAGCTAAATGCGCACCATAGTAAAATAAGCAAGGCATTTTAAGCAAAATGTTTGCCTAATTCGATACTGGGTGTTTTGGCCATCGGTCAAGCGCAATTTGCAGGTATTTCTAAGTTCATATAGGGCAAACAGAGTGATTAGCAAGGTTTGTTTACAAATTATTTTTGTTTGCGGATCGGAGACTGGTGTGCTAGTGTGGGTACGTAAAAATACACGTAGGTAAATGTTTGTTTCAAAGCAGGACAGGGTTGTTAATCTTGTTCTTATTGGCTGCAACATATATCTTAGGAATACCAGATAATACATTCGAATTATGGTGATATATAAAATGCAACAAAAACGTCCGGAAATCTCCCGCTTCGCGAACAACGAATTTCGAATTATGTAAATTTCCTTGCGTGCATCTTACTCGCTTGGCTTCAGCTACTGTCACAGCTCACACATGTGCATTATCGTGACACAGTCCATTTAAGAACTGCACAAAATGATGACGCGGAGTCATCGAAACATCAATCGACATTATGCTTTCGCTGAATTTAACTTTCAGTTCTTTTTGTTTGTTTGTTGTTGTTGTTGTTGTTGTTTTTTCGCTTGCCCCCTATGGAACACCATATTGTGTACACCTCAGAAGGTTTCCTGGGTGTTTTTGGCTGATAGGATCCTATGCCAAACCCCTCACTAACTTCAACCCCGGCAACAGGCCAGTTTCTCCACTGAAACAGACTGGTAGCCAGTCTGCAATTGAGGAGTTTGTCAACGAGTTAGCCTAACTTTTGCTTAAATCTGTTGGAGAGGTTTTTTAAGAGAGAAAAAAAGTCACTGAAGAACCAGCCTCGAGAGTTGATAGATTTATTGAAATTGCATTGAAGCGAGACTTCTATACTCTTGAACCTTTGAATATTAGATTTACATACACCAATGCTAAGAGTGATTCACTGGAATTTCACAAGACTCGTTAATCCTTGTCTTATCTGAGAATTCCCTCTGTAGTACAGCACAGGGTTGATACCAGAGCACAGTGTGGCCAGGGTAAAGTACACGGGCTCTGCAAAGGGACTGAGATCCATCCGAACAATGCTCGACACAACCACTGACAAACCTACAGGAATAATAATTACGCCTAGTAAAACAACAACATGGCGAGTGAGGATGGTTAGTTTACGCTCCATGGCGCTTCCGTGGCCGTTTCCTTGGGCGCCTCCTTCAACCATGTTTGCGACTCCATTGTTGTGCTTGCGAAGCACCAGTAGGGAAAACAGCTGAAGGACGATGATCAGGGAGGAACAAATCACCATGTAGCATGCCTCAAAGAGCTCGACCACCTTTCGAGGAAAGGGGGCAATTTGTTTTAGGATCACCATTGCCAACGTAATGAGCCACACTCCACAGCAAGCTGTTATAATGTGGCGATTTTTGATAACCACTTTGTACCACATCGGTTTGGAAACAGCCAAATACCGATCTACGCTCATCACGCCAAGAGTTCCCACTGTAGAAAATAGACAGAGAAAGAAAGAGGCAACCATGATGGGATTATCCCAATCGCTTTTATTGGCACAAGTTCGGCCACTAAGGAGCTCTTTGATCCTGAAACTCACGTACAATGGGATCACCAACCCCGACCACAAGACATCGGTCGTGGTCAAACAGCAGAGAGAACAAAGCCCTGCACGTAATTGAAGCTTGCCTTTTATAAACATCAGCAGTACAAACCCGTTTGACAGGAAACACCACAAAGCCAACAATAAAGTGATCGGAGTAAGAGCAAAGTTCGAGTAATAGAAGTAGTTAAGCTGCAGTGTCTGTGAAACTCCTTCGAAGAAGCACGGTCGGCCTGTTTCGATGCCCTTTTGGTGGGCAATATTCTCCATCTTCACTCTGCAGATAGAATGATAAAAGACACCGTTAATTCGTTGGTACCAGCTTCTTCACGCTTTATACTACTACATGAGAAATTTCTGCAATTTGATTGGCTTAGAGCAGTGGTATTTCAGCTTAATTTGAAATACCTACATGCGAAAATTACAAACCTTTTGTGGGTAGTAGTATATTAAGCAAATAATAGCATAATTTGTACGTCATATTTGGCATAAATACTACTCGTAATATTTCAAAATTGTCTCAAATTTCACTCGCCTATGGGCTGGTGAAATGACGTATAACAATTTTGAAATGTCACTTGTGGTATTTATGCCAAATATCACTACAAATCATGCTATTACCTCATAGTTATTAGAGGAGACTGGTTATGAAAAGCGGCGAACATCAATGATAAAAACAACAGTGCTGCAGTTTATGTTGGAAGTACCGTGAAAGTGCACAATCCTTTGTTTTCTGTTGGCAAATTGTTACGGAATAAATTAATGCAACGTTTTTATTGGTCAATACAATCAAAATGATAGGAATTCTTTTGAACGTTGTGCACTTTCAGGTCCACAAAAACATATAACAAAGGAGTCTGACGGGTTTCATAACCATTCCACTCAATTAACTATGTATTACCTATACTAATGAATTGCAAAAATACCGTCGTTAAGGCTCATCATACTAACCGAGTCTCAAACGGTTTAACTGTCAGCCATGAAACTCGCAAAATTCAAGTCCAACTATAAACTGAAGGCAAGGCTAACAGCTATGTAATGATGGACATGAAGATTGACAGCAAATTAACTGCCGGCAAGCAGTTAGTATATTGTATAACCTTGTATTACATATATTGTATTGACACCATCCCTTACCCCTCCTAAGCTAAGTCGACGACCTATCCTGGATCCTTAGATGCCTTTTAGCACAAAGTAAAAGAAGTCAAAGCTATTACATAATCAAACAAAGAAAGAATTGAAACAAGTGGTTGGTACGGTAAATGAAATGTTTCGGAAATTGTTTTACCATGAGATTTGCGAACTCTGTTGTGAATTTGTGTAAGAATTTAGATCGTTTTAATAACTTAAATCAAAAGCCTGTCCGCGTCACATCGATCTTTTTTAGATGGAGATAGATTGTTTATTCAACCTAAAAACTTGCAGCCAAAGGGCTGATTCGCGGTAAGGTTACAAATGTAATAATTTACAACTAACTAAAGAAAGATAACCAGGCATAATTTACAATTTTAAAACTGTTACAAAATCCGAAATTCAAAAGCATGCGTCGAGTTCCTATTTTAACCTAGTTCTCACTGTTTGGAAATGGAAATGAACTCACGGCTCTTTTGTCCAGTTAATGGAAATGTAAACAGCTAAAAACTTCGACACTGCGGTTTTAATATAACGCCATTTAGCTAAGGATGGCCGATAGTGACGCTCGTATTATATACAGTCGACTCCCAATAACTCGAACCTTCAAGGGAAATCGAAAAAAGTTCGAGTTATCGGGAGCTCAAAGAAAATAGACGGGCGTATTAAAGGAAAAAAAACAGTTTTTACTGCATAGTGAACATTTTAATCACATTTAATGGTCTTTAATTGTAGAAATGTCAATTGAAAATTAAAAGATACTTCTAGATTATAAATCAGAACGTAACGTAACAAAACCGGCGTGATTGCCGAAATAGTGCATGCGTTTTACTGTTTTGAGAAGTAAAGCTGTTTCACGTTAGATTTGTGACAAACAACATCAGCCTCCACTAGTAAACTCTATGCCAACACGTCAATGGAAAATTCAAAATTCAATGTAGAGCCAGTAGACTGTTTTTTCTCGACTTTTAAGGGCTCAAAACATGGTTCGAGTTATCGAGGGTAAAATTATATAGAAATGGTCTGAGGGGAAACAAAAACTTCTTCGAGTTAGCGGGAGGTTCGAGGTATCGAGGGTTCAAGTTACCGAGGGTAAAATTATAGTAAATGTATGACGGAAATCCAGGAGAAATCGATTTTGGTTCCACTTGGCGCGAGGTTCGAGTTAGCGAGGGTTCGAGTTATGGGGAGTCAACCGTAATTTGGCTGTATATCTATAACTTTTTACCCTGTGGGGTCTTGGTATAGGTAAGCATCTGTTTGAAAATGTAACTAAGGAACTACTACTAAGAAAACTGAACATCTGAAACAGTACATAACACTAGACAACAATTACCGAGAGGGAAGAGATTACTCCTTCATGCAGCAAGACGACTTTCAAGGCAATCGGTTACTTCATCGCATCTAAACAACTTTGAATCCTTCCGGCCAGACTGTACTTACTCCGTTTCTTCTTGCCAAGAAGTATTTCTCTTCACGAGTACCTATTTTGATCAAACCGCACGCGTTAAAAAAAACATTACTGACTGGAAACAACCCATAATTAATTCCTGACGTTAATCTTCATGCTTTTTACCAGACAATTAGGACCGAAAATCTTAGAATTAATTTCCTGTAATAATGTTGTTTAAAAAAAAAACACGAAAACGAGTAAAACGATCGACAGTGAGAAACTTGAACGAGAAACATCGGAGATAAATTAAAAAGGAGGGAATCGACTGGCTGAGAACTGAAATCGATCGCGTTAGGAAAAGGGAGAAAAGCAGTGTAAAATATTCTCGAATTATATATTTCGATTAAAACTACCAAGAAACAAATCTCTTTCAAATCAGATAATCCGCACCAGTTGTTTTACGTTTAAGTTTTCCAGGAGTATTAATTTATCAAGTCAAGGGAATGAAACACGGAAAGGTCTTCAAAAATCCAGAGATCACAAGAAAGGGACCAGGAATTCGTCAGAACGAAAACGTATCTGAATCTCTGAATTTAAAATCAGAACCACATTTCTCGAACATAGCCGATGAAAATCAACACTGTTCGGGCTTCATCTCTTTAAACAATTTTTTTTAGGGGATTAGTGATTAGTTATTTATAGGAAATAGCTGAACAATCTACGTTCAAACCCCAGGTGCATGCATGTGCAATGTTCATGGGATAACACATCCATTAGATAAATCATTACATTCTGCTTAGCTGTCATGCAGATGTTGTTGGTATTGCAATAAACTGGCCTAACCGGTAAAATGATGTTTGACGGTAAGCGTAACAACTAGTAATAATTGCAAATAAGGGGAGTGAGTTCGATGGGAGGGGGTGGGGTTTGGTTGCGAGAGGTAGTCTAAGTGAGTGCAAAACGTGGGGAGCTTGTAAGTTTGAGAAATGAAAATCAAGCACTTTTATCAGTATGAATTATCAGCAGCTGTCTTTATCAGTGTTATTGTTTATCCTCCCACTTTACGACTCGTTACTATTTAATTTTTCCTAAAAAATGCAAGAGCGTCCTGTACTTTTTACATTTACTTGGCTTAGCCATTAGGCAAAAAAGTACATGTAAATGACAGCAGATCAAACACTGACTGTGATCCTCAAGATATCCTTTTGCACTGTAGCCTGAAATTCATCCGATTGCTTCGAGTCGTTTTCTCCTCTCAACAACGTCTGAATCGACCGACCGTTAATGCCGTCCAGTGACGTCACTCACTACCCGAAAACCGGGTAGCGATTTTGATTGGTTGATTGTCTAAACATTCGCATAATTATGTATAATTATGAAAAAATTTAGCAAGATTGTCGCTTGATGATTCAGCGCATCGCATCCCTGGCATTCTTTCGTTTAGTTCAAACATTTCCATAAGCTTAATCTTTATCTTAAACAGCAAATATCTCTTGTTTTGGAAACTGAAATGCTAAATTGAGCTGCGAATGAAGAATCATTGCGGAGAGTCGGTAGGTTTTTCATTTAGAGCCGCTTTGTGGTTTCAGCGGCCGGTGATTTTGTTTACGCGAAGTTTTCTCAGATCAATGTTATAATTCGACCTTCTTGCTGTTTTTACCGTCAAGTGTAATGATTCTGTTAGCTTTTCTTTCTTGTCTCCTTGTTTTTTTTCTTCGTTAAGGACCAAATAGCTTCTTTTCAATTAAAGCAAATCATTGTGTTTTTGAACTAAGTGTTCCGTTTGTGTGTTTATTTCATTACGTGATTGCGACAGAGTTTGATTATCAAGAATTTAGTACAACCGGTTCAGAGTTGTACTGCATGCAGTTGATAGTTTGAACGTTAAACATGAATTACGATCGAAAAAAATGAAGCAGTTCTGTATCATGCAGACATTTCCAAACGATATTTCTCGGTTTGCCACTTGAAAATCTTGTTTTACTTTTTGCATGAATTAAAGCAAAGGTCGAGGAGTAGTGACGTCACTGGACGGCATTAACGGCCGGTCGATTCAGACGTTAGTGAGGGAGTAATAACGGGCGCTTTCCATTTACTCAAAATTTCCGGAATTTCCGGTTCGGCGGTAAATGGAACACGTTTCGTCGGTTCGTCCCACTGGAAAATTCCCAGAAAAAGTGGAAAATCTAAAAAGGTAGTCCCGTTTTCCCGGCTGGAATTTCCGAACGGAATCTCGTGTTCTATTTACGTTTCTCGTAGTTTGTACCAGTTCCAGGTCCACGGTCGGGCACCGCCACGTACCGGGGCTTACGACCAAATGGAACAACTTTTTACCAATCGGAAATTCCACTTTTGCTACCACCGAAATTTCCGGGTTTTTTTCCTAAATGGAAAGCGCCCAACGACTCGAAGTAAGGGACCAGTCATAATTTAAGTTGGAGGGGGGGTGGAGGAGAAATTGGGGGGCCTTCAATTTTTTTGGGATGGAATATGGGGGGCCTTAAAATGCCAAAAGATGACCTTGGGGGGTCTTCAAGTTTCTTTTAAGTAGCTTCCCTACTGAGCAGCATGATGTTTGAGTATTACAGGACCTGATTTTGATTCAGTTTTACACAAAGTCCTATATTGTGTAATACTAAAACAATTTAATCAGCATTTTTACAAAAAGATTTAATGCTCAAATAAACGGCTTGGAAACTAAAATTTCGAGGAGGTTTTTGGACTTTTTACATTCAGGGCATGAATT